GGCCGAGCAGCGCCTGCTCGGCGTCACCCGGGGGCGGGGGGGGGGGTCGCCCCGTCACAGTGGGATAGTGGGACAAATTCTGACCTGTTCCTGCAGCCTTTCTCTTCCCATGTCATTTGAATCATCACTCCGGCTGTGTCTACATTGGTGTGATCTTGTGCAAAAGCGGCCGCTTTTGTGCCAAAACTTGCTGCCTGTTTACACTGGCCGCAAGTTCTTGCACAAGAACACTGACGTTCTAATGTATGAAATCAGTGCTTCTTGCGCAAGAACTATGATGCTCCCGCTCAGGAATAAGCCCTCTTGTGCAACTGTTCTTGCGCAAGAGGCCAGTGTTAGACAGGCAACATGAATTTCTTGAGCAAGAAAGCCCTATGTTTAAAATGGACATCAGAGCTTTCTTGTGCAAGAGAGTGTCTACACTGGCACGGATGCTCTTGTGCAAAAGTACATGTCTTGCGCAAAAGTACATGCCAGTGTAGATGCTCTCTTCTGGAAGAGTTTTTGCACAAGAACTCTTCCACAAAAGAGTTCTTGCGCAAAATCATGCCAATGTAGACGTAACCTCCATGTTTGGCTGAGAGAAAGGAACAGATATGGGTCCTATTCACATTTTCTTTACCATACTGTAATTGATTTTATGAGCTGTGGTGATTTGGCAGTTTGCTCCTGGAGGTCGGGCTATGTCTACGCTACAGAGGTTTTTTTTTTAAAAAAAAACCTTCAATTACGACCACACTCCAATCATGTTCTTTTGAAAGAAAATCGAAAGAACAGAGGGGGATTTCCAAGAATGGTAATCCTCTTTCTATGAGGAAGAAGCCTTTTTCTTTTGTGGACAGGGAAAAGGGTTTTCTTTTGAAATAAGAGGCCTCCAGGAAATAACACAGGTGTCCTGATAGCCACTCTGTCCAAAGAAATCACAACTTTATGGTTCATGTCTCCTGGCCCCTCTTAAAGCTGCAGGCACTCTGGACAAGCCTTGTGGCAGGAAGCTGGCCTTGGAGAAGCACCCTAGCCGCGTAGCTTTCCCTGCCACAGGCCTGCTCACCCATGGTGGAGCCACAAGCTCCCCGATACCAACCACGCTAGCTACCAGACCCTGGGGTACCTGAAAGCGCGCCAGGATCCATGAAGACCTCATGCGGCAGCATGTCGGGTCCTGCGCGACATGCAGCAGACCCTAACGCAGAAGATCTGGGAGGACGCTGAGTGGTGGAACTGTGTGTGGGACCAACTCATGCAGTGGTACAATAGCATATGTGACATCATGGGTGACCTGATGGCACATCTGGCTGCTGTCACTGCTCCTGCCTACCACCCCTCTCCCCCCCGCCACTATGCCCATTCCCCTGCCCCTCAAGCGATGCCTCTGCTCCTTCTTCAAGCAATGCCCTTGCTCCCTCCCCAAGTGATACCCATGCTCCCTCCCTAAGTGCTGCCTGTGCTTCCTCTCCCTTCCCCCCTGCCATCCCTGACACCGCTCCAGACCCTCCTCCTGCCTACCCTCTGTGGTTCCAGGACCCACCCAACCCCAAGTCCAACGAGGTCCCTGCACCTGAGGTGGCACATCCAGCCACCCCCATGCCACTCTAAGCCCCCCTTCCCCTCCAGATTATGAAGCCTTCCTCTCCCTCCCCAGCTTTTTAAAATGAAAGATCAATACAGAGTTCGTTTTGGTTAAAACCAAACAGGTGTCTTCCAGGAAGTGCAGCACCTTCCTTATGTCCCTGCCAAAATCTTAATGAATAAATAGGGTGTCCCCACATGCACCCTCCCTGCCCTCCTCTGCAGCAAGCCAAAGGCCCATAGGGGGGAGGCCCTGGGGAGAGTTACTAGGGTCCTTAAGAGAAACTCTCCCTCAGGGCCTCCCGGATGCACACCCCAGCCTGTTGGGCCTGCTGGGTGGCAGCTGTCCGTGGCTGCTCAAAGGGTCTCCCTTTGTGGCCGGCCTCTGCACCCCACCCCGGGAGGAAGGCCTCCTCTTCCTCTACACAATATTGTGAAGGACACAACATGCCGACACCACCTCAGGAATGTTGTGCTCCCTCACATCCAGTTGAGTCAGGAGGCACCTGAAACATGCCTTGAGGTGACTGAAGGCGCACTCAACCTGGATCTGGGCCCGGTTCAGGTGGGCATTAAATTGGTCACTGCTGGAGTCCAGGTGGCCAGTATAAGGCTTCATAAGCCATGGCATGAGGGAGTAGACTGAGAGGCTGCCCCCCCCAGAAGCCCCAGTGGCATCTGCATGTCCCCAACTGCAAAGCCCTGGCAGGGGAAGAATGTACCGGCCTCCAGCTTCCCATAGAGGCTGGAGTTCCAAAAAATGCAGGCATCATATGCCCTGCCTGACCACCCGACAGAAATGTCTGTGAACTGTCCACGATGGTCGACCAGGGCCTGCAGCACCATTGAGAAGTAGCCCTTGCATTTGATGTACTGGGCTGCTCGATGTTCAGGTGCATGGATCGGGATGTGGTTCCTATCAATCGTTCTTCCGCACTTTGGGAACCCCAGGGCAGCAAATCTGGGCACAATAGGGTCCAGGTCTCCTAGGGGGATGACCCTCCACAGCAGGATGGAGTTGATGGCCCTCATAACCTGCAGAAGGAGACAAACACACAAAACAGAGAATGAGAGAGGGGGTGCCTGAGCATTGGAAGGTGCCCAACTCCCTTCCACTTCCTCCCCGCCAAACGCTCCAAGAGCCACCCCCTATGAGGCCACCCCCCCCCCAGCAGCAGGGCAGGGGGAGGGGGGGATGGCACAACCCCCCAGAAATGGGGCTTTTCCCCATGCCCTCCAACTCCCCTTTTCCCGAGACTTTTCCAGGACCCCCCCACCCCCACACACACACACTCGTACAGGGATTGCAGCCCGAGAGTGCCTTACCTCCATAAGGAGGACCCAGACAGTGGACTTCCCCACGCCCAACTGGTTGCCCACTGACTGGTAACTGTCTGGGGTGGTGAACTTTCAGAGGGTGATTGTGACTCACTTCTCCAGGGGGATGGTGGGCCGCAGGTGGGTGTCACATCATTGGAGGGCAGGGGCAAGCCAGGCACACAGCTCCAAAAAGGTGGCCTTCTGCATGCGGAAATTTTGGAGCCACTGCTGGTCATCCCACCACACCATAACCAGTCAGTCCCACCAATTGTAACTGGCGTCCAGCCTCCAGAAACGCCTCTCCACTGTGAGTTGCGGTTGCAAGGGTGTTGCTCCCACATCCAGAGAGCAGGTCCCCAGAATGAGCTCGGGGTCCAGCTCATGCAAGACCAGCAAGACAGCCAGCACAAAGTGCTGCAGAAACTGCCGCATGGCCATGTGGCGCCATCGCATTCCCAGGGCAGCTCCGTGGCACTAAGACAAAAGCTGTGGCGTTCACAAAAGCTGAGCAGCCAAAGCAGGCCCTGAGAGAGCTTTGCTGTCCCTTGGAGCAGTAGGCAAGCAAGCAGCAGAACCAGAGAAATGGCTGCCTTCCAGGGCGGGAGGTGTCCCTTTAAGTGCGTGTCTCTGCAAGGCTCCGGCACCAGCACTTGGAAGCAACTGGTGACTTAAAGCCCTGCCTGAAGTGGTTCCGGGTGGCCTTTTATGTGAGAGAGTGTCCAATCAATCTGGATGCTCTCTCTCGAAAAAGCAGATCACTTTTTTGATGTGCTTAGCCCTGTGGATGCTCTCTTGAAGACGAAGTTTTTCGGAAGATCTCTTCCGGAAAAGCTTCTTCCGAAAGACGCCTGCACTTTAGACGTACCTTCAGAGAGGTGCCCTTGAATGAATGAAGTTTGTTGTCTGTCTCACAGGCCCGTCGGATTCTGGATCTGACCCCTGTGAATGAACTGGTGAGCCTGAAGTGGAATAAATATGGACGTCCCTATTTCTGTATCCTGGCCTTTTTCTATGTGCTCTACATGATTTGCTTCACCATGTGCTGTGTCTACCGACCTCTGAAACATCGACAGAGCAACAAAACACACGAAAGGGACAACACTATCTACATCCAGAAACAGCTGCAGGTACATTGTATACACCATTAACGTCCCACAGCTCCTCCCAGCTTTTCAGCCCAAATTTCCCAAAGCACTTTATAGGCTATGAATGCAAAGGAAGACCTTCAGCCATTTACTGACATCTCCCTGCAGCACAGTGCCCCTGAGCATGCTGGGAGGTTGGGCTCAGAACTAACACAGGGAGGAGAGCACCTCCTACTCATAATAATGCATCCTGTTTGTGGTAGGAATGCCTTAGGGCTGGCAAGAGCAGTACCCCCATTTAGCTGGGCAATGAACCCAAAGAGCTTTCA